TTTGAAAGACTTTGGACAAGATTTGGTGCTGAAATATTTTGTTTTCTTGCTTATATTCTAACCAATTTGTTTTTTTGTTTGTTTGTCTGTAGTATTAAGTCTCAGTTTGTGTTTTCTGTTTGTGTCTCAGTTTCTGTGCTGCTCACAGTATTCGTTTAGCTGTTTGTTTGTTTATAGTCTCCGGTTTGTGCCTTTTGTGGCATTTGATTTGCTTTTCATTTTCTTGTTTGTCTGCTTGTGGTATTTAATTTTTTTTTCTCTGCAGATCTAATCTGGACTCAGTTTATCCACCTGGAAAGCTCAAACAAAAGGTGAAGCCTGAAAACAACGCAGTAACCAGAGAACGGCACTTCAGCATCAAGGTACTGACCAACATCTAACGTCTCATTACAGTGTTCATACATAAACAAGCAGACACGTATTGAGAATAAAGACGATCATCAACTGGCTAATAGTGTCTTGATGTACTACCAAATTCTCACAACAAACGCTTATTGAATATTTAGAAATGATCGTAGAGAATTGATAGTCTAGTCAGTGATTGTACGGTTGCTTTGCTGTGAAATTCCTGCGATGGCAGAGCTGTGACGACCGCTGTTAGTTAACTGTTGCCACTAAAGCAAAACCAAAATGTTAAAAATTTGCTCTTTTACTAAAATGGTTGTCCACTTAGTGTACAAAAGCGATCGATAAAATAATTTCACTTTGTTTGTGAGAAGCAGGATTGATTCCAAAAACGTCCATGAAGAAATTAAGCCTCACTTTCAAGTTTGAACAGTCTTGAGGTATTTGGTAGCCTTCTATGCAGACGCTATTTGGGATTGTCACGCAATCTCCCCCTCCCCAAAGTCCTTCGTCACGCAATCTTCCCGAGCCTATAGAGCGTCTGCGCAGGAGGCTAGGTCTTTGGTCGAAAATGAACAAATCGTTCTTCACTTTCATCTGTCTTTATTGTTTCTTCAAAAGGGCACAATAAAGAAGGCTGTGTCGCCCTTTAGATCAGGTAAGCTGCGTGTTGTGAGTTGAAACCGCTTCAATGAACTTTTTAAATAGATGCAAATTTTTCTTGCGACTGAGACCGCTGTTTTCATTAGAAATGTCGTCAGGAGGCAGCGACGAGGATGCTGTTGTGTTAGGAACCTTTAGATCGGACGATTGAACGCGAGTTCGATTTTTCAATTTCAAACCAGTGACGTTTCCAGAGCCCTCGCTCCTCATGTTGGTTTTAGGTAGTGATGGTAGCTTATCGGATGAGACGGGTATGTGACGTGAAAATGTGAAGCCTGTAAACTAGAATTGAAAAGTCGTTCTCGTACTCGACCTCGTACACGTACTCAAATCTAAAGGCCTCCGTTATTAAATTCGCGCTACAAAACAGAAAATCCTTGTGCACTTCAACGAACACTTGCTAAAAGGGATCACGCTTGCTCACTCCACGAAGTTAGTGTTTGATTCGCGTGTCACTCGATAATTTCCTAACCTATCAAATCCGATATGGGTTTTTGAAACAGATTTCCGTGTTAACCATCTCTCTTCTCTCCTGTCTCTATGAATGGTTTTGAATGTGTCGTTTTAGGGTAATATATGTCGGTCATTTTAGTGACCTTTCGTTTGGGTTATATCATGTTCTCCTGCAGCTGGTGGGACAGAAAATGGCGAGGACGATAGCAAGAAAGCCACTGAAGAAGAATTGTCTTTTATAAAGAGTTCTATATGTGAACAGTGGAAGAAGCTTGGGGTACGTATAAAACGAAATTGCATGAGGGTGAGACCCTAGTGCGTCTATTTATTATTGTTGTTTTGTGGTTAGGGCGCAGGATTTGTAATCCGAAGGTCCCGGGTTCAAATCTTCCTCCCCGTCACTAGATGGATTTGTGTTTTGTAATTACTATTTATTATGTTCTAGGACAATTCAAATAACAGATACAGGACACAGTACTTTCGTGTGCCATTTTGTTTTTGTTTGTTTGTTTGTTTGTTTGTTTGTTTGTTTGTTTGTTTGCAGTATTTTTTCCTTATGAAATTGCCAGATTCAATTTGATAATCATTAAAGAGGCATAAAACAGTAAAAGAACTTTTGATGCAAATTTGTTTTTCTTCTAATTTTCAGGGCATGGATCAAGAAGAAGCTCAGAAACAGTACATGGAAATACTGAGAAGCTGGCCAGGGTATGGCTCCACTTTGTTTGACGTGGAGGTACGTAACGCAATACTTTCTGCTCAAATGTCCACAGAAATTCCACGCCTGTTAATCTCTCTTTACACTGTGTCTGTGGGTGGTCTGCAGGGGGGGAGGAGGGGGGAAGGGGACTTGTCAGTCCGATTGATTTAGTCATGTTTTTGAGCAAGACATTTTTCTCTGAGATATCACACTATTGAATAATTGCGTTACAGAGTGCTTGGCCGTACCGTAATCTGTATTAGATAAGCGTCACGTCGAGTCACGTTTAGGTAGAGTAGAATTGATGTGGATGATTTCTACTGATGGGTTATTTCCATTGATGGCTGGTTATTATGAACGGACAGACGTGAAGTTTACCTCTTAACACACTGACAAGTAAACAGCATAAAGAAATGTACCAGTCACGTGCATGTGTAGAATTAAACAGTCGAGCAATCAGCATGCGTGAACTTTTTTCGGCAGGCACAAAACTGATTCCACATTTCAGCGCACACAACCCAGCCAAGCATTTTCGGGATCTTATTTTCCTAGTTGGCTTTGACATCGAGTATTGTTTCCCCTCCTGGATGCTAGTCTGTGGTAGTCGACCTTCCTCCTTCCCCCTGCCCCTCGACCCTCCCCCCCCCTTCTCAGCCCTCCATTCTCCAGCATTTCGCAGTGCTGCTCTATCATTACAACCGACTTATGTATATACACTAACGTGAACCACAGCTTGGCTGAAGTTGAAGTTGGTGTTTTCTGTTTTAGACAAAAGATCCTGGCTTTCCTCCTGAGCTCTGGCTGGGTGTGAGTTTTAAGGGCGTAGCTTTGTACAAGCGAGGAGATGTCAGACCACAGTGTCAGTTCAGTTATGAAAAGTGAGTTGTTGCACGATTATACAAAAGTCATTTTGTGATATCCGAAACTATATCTTCCAGACTTCAAGACCCTAACGTTAATAGCTTAGTATGGAAGAGTAATGTTTAGAGAGTCAAAATTAAGCATTAAAATGCGCGGAAGGTCAGTGAATAAAATCTTCGATGTTGTTGTTGTTCCGTGGGAGCAAAACTAGAATGAAAGTGAACGTTTTTGTAAAAGCAGACATGTGTTTGTTCCATTCGGTTTCATTGTATTTTTACGTAGTTTTGCAATGGACGGCTAGGGAATGTACGACAATGTACAACGTGTGTATATTCAAGTGCCATGGCAACGCTTAATTTTCGATCTCTCCATTGGCATTACCCATACTTTGAGTAATCGAGACCTCATGATATAGATCTTAGAGATCATGTAACAATCACCTTTAGTTATTTGCTGCGTTATAACTTCTACTTACAGTATTCTATCATTTGGAGCTCCGGCTGCCAATAAATACAAAGTCATCGTTGATGGAAGAGACCCAATGCTCTTTGAAACATCACAGGTATGCTCATTTCTTATTTTAGTGACTGCCTCTTTTTTCTTCCATTTTAGTTGGTAGCAATATTCACTTGGCAGTCGTTATTTGAACTCACACGATTCGCGGAACCAATACGAAGTCAATCGCCAGTTGACAAACGCCATGTTTCCCGCGGTTTACATCGGTTGCAAGTTGCTGCTTTGAATTCTGATTGGTTTATGTCGTAAGACGTAGTCGCATCTGATCAATTAAAACGAAGCGAGTATAACACAATCAACCAACCAATAGGAAGTCGAAGCCAAGCCGTGCAACCGATGTCAAGCGCGGGAAAACCTGCCTTAGCCAAAGGACGAATGGTTTCTGATTGATCCTGATTGGCTAGGAAAGAAGCGTATCTGTTCTGATTGGCTACAGCAAATCGCTCCAGTCAGGTATAATTTCACACAAACGCAAAGGCAAACCAGAAACACGTCATGACAAGTTTCAAGAATTTCTTAAACCGTCTTGTGATGTGAGCTTTCAAACCGTTCTTATACGTGTTCTTTTGTTACCCACAGGTTATCGAGATTGCCAAACTGATGAAAGCCTACATCAATCAAATTGTGAAACTGCGAAGATCAAGCTACCTAAGCCAAGTATCAGAAGCATCAGACTCTTAGCCAGTCGATAAACTGAAACATGAGTTACACTTCTCTCTCTGTTTATTAATTGAATAGTTAGCTTTAGTTGATATTTTCGTATTTCTGATTCTGGGGAACAAGCACTGTGTTCGGTAAACATTTGTTCAAGCGCTCGTGCTGTTTGCAATTCTCATTATTATCTTATCAAGAAAGAGCACTAACAAGAACTCCCGATGCCGTCTTCAGCTGGTACCTGCTTCCCCTTGTCTGTGCCGCAGCTGTAAATGCAATTAAGGGGACTGCGGTTAGAATTAACGTAAATGGAAGGGAGGTACATCGGAGGCAATAAGATATAGATTCCAAAAAAAAGCAGGGAAATTTCTTGAATACTTTATCTTCCCGCAGTGATTAAAATCTTTCTCTCTCCATTAACAATAGCATTTCAAGCGGTCAGCTGATGAGAATAAAGAAGATCCGTCATAACTGAGGAATTTACTTTGATAAACCAGCAAATTCTCGACACTAGAATTAAAAGAAATCTATGGCAGTGAGTAGGGAGAATCTACACTTCGATCTTAGAAGAAGTGAACGCTTTCAGGCCGTCATACTCTCTTCATTTTTAGTGGAAAAGAAAAATTAACTGTGAGACTGGTTTATCCATAAATTTATTACTTGTAGTAATTACCCCGGGTTCCTAAATTTGTTATTCGGAATTAATCAAATAAATAAATCAAATAAGGGTTTCAAAAATTTACGTAAAGCGCGCGTGTTGTGAGACAATCAAAGACGTTTGTAGTCAATTCAATATTTTTATACTGACAATAGCAATTCAAACGACCATTTTGGTTGGTAATTTTGCTAGGAAACTGTCTATTAACGTATTTTTCGTGGAAATATATAAATAAAATATTTGTTGGAGGGGGAGAATGTTCCCATAGTTGAAAGGAATGCATAGATTCTAACTATCGAGGGGAACGCCGGATATTTTAAGGTAGTAGTCTGACTAATGATTGTTAACTGAATTCTTCATTGATAGATAATTACAAAGAATTGTCACAATCTTGCTATCACCAATTAAGAAAGCGCTGCTAGTTAGGAAACAAAGTCTGTGAAAAAGTTGAGTTGTGAGCGCGATGTTTTACAGACTATTGTATTTCAAAACTGTTAAGTATTGCGAATAATATATATCGGTTTGGGTTTTCTTAAACGAGAAATGAAGCGGCAAAATTTTTCACCTCTGAAATCAAATGAGAATTTGTTGACCTGTACTTAATATAAGCGAGGTTTTCTGTTGGCTGTCAAGCGCTAAACACTTAAAAACTAACCGGTCCTTTCCCCGCGCTTGACGCGGGTCACCCAATCACGTGCTTTTGGGCTGATCGAGTTCTGATTGGCTCGTTGCGTTATTTGCGTTTGTTGTGATTGGCTAGGTGTAGCTATGTTGGATTTGGTGTATCGACAGTCTTTAGAAAACCTCTAACAGAAGTTTGATAGTTTTTTTAGTTTTATCACTTATTCTCCAGAATGTGAAGTCCCAGATAGTGAGATCAATGAAGATCATTTTACAGAAATCTACTACAGTGAAAAGGAATCTCTATTTTCTCACTATTTTTATACTAGTAAATTATCTTTAGGAATCTTTGAATCCCTTGTGAGAAAAGAAACAACGATTGCACGGGCTCTTGTGAAGTTTTAATTGACTATTAAGATCGTTTGTTTTCCAATCTGCTATGTACGCCAATTAGAACCGACAGTCGCACGTGCGATAGATGTATGGGCACCTGATAGTCACGTGCTGGTATAACGCGGTTTTCATCGGCCAAGGAGCGGGGAAACCAAAATAGAAACGATAGAGCTCGTTTTGCCCCTAATGGTTAAATTTAATAGCTTTTAAATTGCCAAGCTGTGGAACACGACAGCTAATCTTAAGAAGCTAGATAGCTGTCAATTTTAGATATGTAATTTTGTATGAATATTCTGTATCTTTTGTATTTAACAATGGTTTGTGAACAGTTTTATTAATGGAATTAAATGACAAAGAAATAGAGCAAAAGCCTTTGATTTGTCATTGAGTTCTTTCAGTCACTCCTGAACTATCAGCTGAACTATTCTGTGGTAGATCTAAACATTTGTTAGAC